TTAGGAAGAACAACCTTCAGAACACGGCCAAAGAGCCAAAAAAACCCCACAACAACCAATGTGTTATAAACTGAGATGCTTGGACAACAGCAGTGGCAAGAAATACCTGCGGCAAAATAGGTATCAACTCAAGAAACACAAGGGGGGGAATAAGTAGGAGTGTTAAGTAATGTGCAATTCAGGGTCATAAAACAAAATCAAGGTTCATCATAAAGCAGATCTGTAACAACTGGTTTTAAATGTTACATATTAATTATAAATTCTAATGACATTGATGATAGCTTTATAGTCAAGTTACTTCTAAATAATGTTTTTAATTTTCAGATGGTTTCAAAAGACTCTAGATTTTGTTGTTCAAATTTGTATTCTAAGTTTTATTTTTAAATTTTAAAGTAATCTAGTCTGACTCTTTTGGAAGCTGAAGACAGTAGATTTATATTAATTATAAAATAAAATCAGATAAATCGCAAGAACAAGGTCTTTGCATTCTTTACTTAAAAACAAAAACAAATGTTTAGCATTGCTGTATAGCAATGTATGAGAAAGGTGCAGGAAAAGGGCCATCCCTTTGCCAATGCAGCTTTCAGGTCCCACAACTGTTACTGGGTCTATTGCAGAGATGGAAGCTGTAGATCTCAGAGCATCATACTGGTGCTGCTCATCTAAGGATGTGTTCAGCTTGTCACTATATTCATCCTGTTTAAAACTAGGTTACATAATTCTGCACCACATGTGGGTGGACTGCAACTCACACAATCCCTCGCTATTGGCATCTCTTGGCTAAGGGTGATGGGAACTACAGCCCTCACATCAGGAGAGTTTCACACACACTCATTGTATTACTGTGGTGGTGGTTATATGCTGTCAAGTTACCTCTGACTTACAGTGACCCTATGAATTAATGATATCCATCCTGTCTTATCATGAATAGTCCTGCTTAGCTCTTGCAGACTCAAAAGTGTATGGGGTTAACATGCAAGAACCAGATGAGAAAGGGGGGGGGGATTCAGAAAACAAAAGGGAACAAAAGCAAAAAGGAAGTGGAAATAATTTACACATGTCTTCTTTGCTTCTTATACCATGTTGGGCTAGATGCCACTTCTTACATGGCAAGTATTCATCTAATAAAAAACTAAGATGGGTTCATTTCATTCTACATTGACAGAAGTGTTTGTCAGATATGAAGCAGTGCATCTTGTACTAGGTGCATAATTTGTTCCGGAAGCTGCATGGACCAAGCCAAAAGTAGTACAAGAGATTGCATTCAGCTTTTCCTCTAATGATGGGCTGTGTCTTTACAGAGTTTTTCGAGTGATTATCACCCATATTTGGGTGGAATGGAAGTTCACTGGCCTATCACGGTAATGACAAAATTGACAGGGCATCTCCTCAGCAGCTTAATTGGAAAAATACAGATTATAGGCTGAAGAAGTTGGTTACTATGGTCCAGTAGAATCTAGGTTACCTGCCACTGCTGGAAATGCCTTTATGGAAAGCAAAAGCAGAGAAATTTAGAAGATGGAAGAAACCAAAAAAGATTAGAGGAGAACACTATGGGCATTTAAATATCCAGTTAATTGTGGGGGATAGCATGTGTATCTGTGAGACACTAGTGCTTCAGGAGATAGAGGCAACTGTCAATTGCACTGTCTAGAATGGCTTGAAATAAGGTTGGAGTGCATCAGACAATGGGACTAAGAGTAAAAATCCTGTTTAAAAAAACCCAACATTTTTTCCAAACAAGGCAGGAAAGTATATTGTTTTCTATTTTCATTTGAGACAAATGACTTGTCAACAGTGGTTTGAGATTCAGATACTCTGAGGAACACCTTGTTCTTTCTGCATACCCTCAGGTGCTTTGTTTATAATTTGAGACCTTCGTTTAGATTCCTTCACTATCTGAAGCATGATGGATAGATAGCAAATAAGAGCAGGACTTTTTTGGTGGTAGCCTCTATCTGAAGAACTCCTTTCAGTTGAGATCAGACAAAAGTCACCTTGTACACCTTGATCCCAGCATATGCTATTTTAAGCCTCTGTGCTAAGGCACTTACATTGAGAAAATATCTCTTTTGTTGATATTCCACCATTATCCTCATTGAACATCATCTTATTTTTAGCCTTATGGAAGAAGACTGCTTTTGCTACTTGCTAAACTATTTCTCCCAGTCCCAATCCCAAAGGGCAGTGCCAAAAAATGCTCCAACTACCGTATAATTGCACTCATTTAACACGCTAGCAAGGTTATGCTCAAAATCCTATAAGGTAGGCTTCAGCAGTATGTGGACTGAGCTCTCCCAGAAGTACAAGCTGGATTTATTATTTGCTGGATAATAAAGTCAAAGAGTTCCAGAAAAAACATCTACACTAACATTTGCTGGATTATAAAGTCAAAGAGTTCCAGAAAAACATCTACTTCGGCTTCATTGACTACACAAAAGCTTTTGACTGTGTCGACCACAACAAACTATGGCAAGTTCTTAAAGAAATGGGAGTGCCTGACCACTTATCTTATCTCCTGAGAAATATATATGCGAAAGGCAGTCCTGAATGAATCCCAAGAAGGAATTAAGATTGCCAGAAGAAATATCAAAAACCTCAGATATGCAGATGATACCACTCGGATGGCAGAAAGTGCGGAGGAATTAAAGAGCCTCTTAATGAGGGTGAAAGGGGAGAGTGCAAAAAATTGTCTGAAGCTCAACATAAAAAAAACTAAGATCATGGGCACTGGTCCCATCACCACCTGGCAAACAGAAGGGGAAGATATGGAGGCAGTGACAGATTTTACTTTCTTGGGCTCCATAATCACTGCAGATGGTGACAGCAGCCAAGAAATTAAAAGACGCCTGCTTCTTGGGATGAAAGTGATGACAAACCTAGACAGCATCTCAAAAAGCAGAGACATCACCTTGCTGACAAAGGTCCGCATAGTCAAAGCTATGATTTTTCCAATACTGATGTATGGAAGTGAGAGCGGGACCATAAAGAAGGCTGACCTCCGAAGAATTGATGCTTTTGAATTGTGTTGCTGGAGGAGACTCTTGAGAGTCCCCTGGACTGCAAAGAGAACAAACCTATCAATTTTGAAGGAAATCAACCCTGAGTGCTCACTGGAAGGACAGATCCTGAAGCTAAGGGTTCAATACTTTGGTCATCTCATGAGAAGAGAAGACTCCCTGGAAAAGACCCTGATGTTGGGAAAGTGTGAAGTCAAGAGGAGAAGGGGATGACAGAGGACGAGATGTATGACCAGTGTCATCGAAACTACCAACATGAATTTGACCCAATTATGGGAGGCAGTGGAAGACAGGAGGGCCTGGCATGCTCTGGTCTAGGGGGTCACGAAGAGTCTGACACGACTAAACAACCACAAACTATTTTGGCTGTTATTGAAGCTGGCTGAATCACCATTATGGGTTTTCTCACACATTATTTCATGATTTGCTGCTGTGGACTGTGGTGTGTTCCTTCTTTAAAAAAGCCCGGATATAATCTTTTTAAATAAAGTAATAAAATAATACTTAGCATGGCAAAGCACTAACGTGAGAGACGGGATCTTCTTTAGTAGTTCCCTGACCAGACACGAACTAGCATCCTTGCTTCAAGAGTATCAACAATGTTTGCAAGATATAATTTAAAACGTTCTGCGCTTGGGTTGGCGACTTATTTTCAGAGTCCACCGAAAAGGAAACCGAAATCGCCGGACTGCACCGAGAACACCAAAATTCTGTCACCACAGAACATTTCTCTACCCTTCTACTCTTCAAAGCGGAGTCACTCTGGAATTGTTTCCTCTCATCACGGTCTCTCCCACCAGCACCACCAGTGACCAGCCTTTACAAACTGGAGGACGGACGGGGCAGCGCGACTCCTCAGACGTCTCCTCCCTTTTCCTCAATCGAGCGCTCGGCGCCCTCTCGGGGATGGGCCTGGGAGGTGACTGCGTCCCCGGCTCTCCCTTCCTTCCTTCTCGCTACGGAGGGCCTCTGCCTTCGCACGGTGCGGCTTTTTGCTCTTCGGCACTCTGGAGGCTCCTTCGGCGCTGGAGAGTCTGCCGCCGCCGCCGCCGCCGCTCCTGCAGTTGCTGCACCTCGGAAAGGAGAAGGAACGCCTGCGCAAGCAGGTAAGAGGCGGTTTAATTTTTTTGGCGCCAGCCCTTCGACCTGAGGCAGAATCCTAACCTCAGGGCTTTGCGCGCGTCCGGCAGGGGGGAGATTTTTCTCCTGTCATTCCTTCTTTTCTTCCCCCTAGCTCCTCTCCTTGTGAAGCAGCACTTAAAATTGCTGCCTCTGACAGGCGTTCTCTGGCACTTGGTCCTTGGAAGTCAGATCCTAAAACAGAATTCCGACCTGAAGTGTGAGGGGAAAAAGTTTTATTGACAGGGTCCTCAGTCTGCTTGTGCTTAAAAAATAAAGCTCCCTGGTTTCTTTAAAACGAGGTAGCCGGTAGCAAGCCTCCTAACTCTTTCTTTAAAACGATTGCAACCTCTTTCTATTGTTAAAACCAAACCTTCCCTAGAGACATGACGTGGGGGTTGGCATTAGTTTGGGGTAGTAAAGCTCAGTAGTCAGGAGCAGAGTTTGAACTGTTACATGTAGTATCCAGCTATGGATGACACAAGGTCGAGGAAATGAATGGGCTGGCTATAAATATTGGGAATTAAGAGAGTGTCCGCTTTGCTTTCATCCTGAGGTTTTTGTACACACATTTTCTTGTCCTTTTTTCAGCATCCGCTCAAGACATTTTTCTGCCTGAGGCAGACCACCATTCTCCCTCCCCAATCAAGGTGCAAAGTACCCGAGGCTGCTCAAATATCTTGGCACCTGGGCAGAAAATCCTACAGGTTCCTTGTCCCTCCTTGAGAGTATAAATACTATAATTCTAAAATACCCAAAGCAAAATCATTGCTCTTCTTTGATTTCCTAAATGTGACTGAGGCAGCTGTTTCATTTACTGAGTCGTATGTAGGGCTCCTCAACTTAAGGTATTCATTGTCCCTTTGAACAGTTAGTTCACCGTGTATTTATGCAACTCCACTTCTTTTCGGAAAAAAGCAGATGGCATCATACGTTGTATTATCCAGTAATGGGGCATAGTTAGTGACAGGGCTCAGCTGCCATCACCGGCAATCAGCTTTGGAACATATGAAGAATGAAAAGAGGAAAGTAGCCTTGAGCATACAACACTAAATTTCCTGTGTGGTACGTGCAGTGCTGTCTCCAAAGTAATACTCAAAACTCACATCTGGACCTCTTAATGGAGGCAGATCCAAGTAGAAATGTTGCACTGGGAATTAAACGTTCATGTAACTTTCCAGGGCTTTGTCTGTGGACACTACACAACAGAAATCTAAGATACTGTTTAAAGATACTTCTAGGAAAAGGGAGATTACAGTTTCTATGTAGTGTTCCCACACACAGGAATTTTTGAAAGTATTATCTATCTGCTTCAGTGCTGTTGGCTTGCAGTTACTGCATCAATAGTAGTCTCAGGCCATAAACTCCATAAATAACATTTATTCCATGGAGGAAACAGATAACCTTACTCTGACAACTCTGTAGTAATATTAATCTTATACTGTACAGTTTGTGGATTCTCTGATGTGTGTCACAGCATTAATTCAGACAATATGTGAATCTGTCCAAAGAAGCAGGCTGCAGAACAGTGGAATATAACTTGCTATCAAGACAGTTAATGTTGTCATTACAAAAGCCATTGTTGGTAAATCGAGTTTTCCTACATTCAGTGGAAATTCTGCAGAGTTGACCAAACTGTGGGACTGCATTTTATAGCTCACTATATGGTTTCATGGTTCCCTTTAGTATGCTGGCAAGTTATCATTTATAGAGATCATAGTGGCTTCAGATGTAATTTAAGTGGAATATAACTTTTTGGGTTTTGATATGACTTTACAGTTGGCATGCAACGTTACAATTTTGTTTGTGAATGAAAAGTTTTTCAGACTTGTCTTTTAAGCAGGGAAAAAGTACACCTATCATTTGAATGTTGGGGCTCTAAACATTTCTTATCAAAGAAGTGCTCTTACCATTCAGTTGTATGTGATGCAGAAAACTCTTATTTTGCCTCAGGTGTTAACTGAAGGCTCTTCTAGATGGATAGGATCAGTTGTGAATGCCTCCTTGTAGCAGGGTTAGGATCCCAGCCTGCTTAAAAGAGGCAGTAGTAAGACCATTGTTGAAAAGCCCTCCTTGGATCCCACAGTATTAATATTGCAGGGTTAGGATCCCACAGTCCTTAATATTGCATTCTTGGGCAAAGTGTTAGAATGGGATGAGATGGACTATCTAGATTAATTTAAATCTGGCTTCTGGCCTAGCTATGGGACAGAGACTTCTTTGGTCACCTTAGTGGATCACCTGTACTGGGAATTGGTCAGAGGAAGTGTGACTTTGTTGGTTCTGTTGGACCTCTCAGCATCTTGGTATCCATGGTATCCTTCTGGGTATCCATCTCTAGGAGATGTCCAGAGTTTTGAGATTCAGTGTCACCAATATGTGGATGACACCAAACTCTGTTTTACCTTTCCATGTAAATCCAATGAAGCTGATTGGTTCTAGATCAATGTCTAGTGTCAGTAATGGATTCAATGAGGGTCAGTAAACTGAAACTTAATCTCAACAAGGGAGAGGTGCTCCTGGTCAGTCGAAAGGCAGATCAAGGAATAGGGATGCAGCCTGTGCTGGAGTTGCACTTCCTCTGAAAACACAGGGGTGCAGCTTGAGTGTGCTCCTGGGTTCATCTCTGAGCTTGGATGCCCAGATTTTAGTGGTGACCAGGAATGCATTTACATGGTTAAAACTAATATACCAGCTGCACCCATTCCTAGAAAGGTCTGATCCGGCCACATTGACACATGTCTTAGTTATGGGCTGAATTACTGTAACATGCTTCGTGGGGCTGCCATGGGGCTACCTAATGTAAGTGTTAAAAAACTTCAGCAGGTCCAAAACACTGCAGCCAAAAACCCTGCTATAGCATCTCCACTGGCTGCAGATGGCTGACCAAGCACAATTCAAAGTGCTAGCTTTAACCTATGAAGCCCAAAATGGCTTGGGTTCTAGCTATCTCAAGGACCACATCTCCCTTTATGAATGTGCCCAGGTATTAAAATCATCAGTGCAGACCTTTCTCTCAGTCCCACCACCCTCACACGTGGCTCTGGTAGGGACATGGGAGAGGGGCTTCTCTATCATTGCTTCCAGACTTTGGAAACCCCTCCCATGGGAGGCCAGCCTGGCCCCGTCTTTGTTGTCCTTCCACAAGCAGGCAAAGACCTTTCTCTCCAGGCAGGCTTTCTCTTAGTGACTGGATAAGAGGGTTTTTTAAACTGGATGGTTTGTATTTTTGTTGTTTTGAAATCTGTTTTAGTAATGTTTTATCTAAGATTTTTAATATAATGTTTATTTAATTCTTTTTAAATACAGTATTTATATAACTTACCATTTTCAGCTTTCAGATATTTTATTTTTTTAATGATGTGTAAGCTGCCTTTTCCCGCCAACCTAGCGGCTCGAAAGCATGCAAATGCGAGTAGATAAATAGGGACCACCTCGGTGGGAAGGTAAACAGCGTTCCGTGTCTAAATCACACTGGCCATGTGACCACGGAAAGATTGTCTTCGGACAAATGCTGGCTCTATGGCTTGAAGAGTGGGATGAGCGCCGCCCCCTAGAGTCGGACACGACTGGACAAAAATTGTCAAGGGGAACCTTTACCTTTACCTAAGCTGCCTTTTGTCCTCCTTTAAGGAAAAAGACAGGGTAAAAATCCTTTAAGTAAATAAAAAAATGGGGCAAATGTACTCCTTTAATTCCTGCCATTAAACCCTAATTTTAATGGTAGCCCTCTTCTTGACATCCCAGTAACATTAATTTTGTCATGATATATACAGATTTAAAGAGTTTGCCCACCCACAGGTTCATGTATGCACGCCCACATGCACACAAACATGCACAATTCTTGATTTGTTTTCTCCCACTCTATGACACTTCTCTTCCAACTCTGAAGGTTGCCTCTCTTTTTTGGCTGAAATCTTGTTGCTTAGTGTACAGTAATAAGTTGCATAGGAACTTACAGAAGAGTTGACTCACTAAATCCAAATTGATTTCATGGGCTTACTCTCGTTGTGACTTACAATGCTAAGGAACAGGATTTCAGCCTTTGTCATGTTTTATTTTAAAAGGCTACTAGTCTCTTCATTGAAGATTAGTGTGATGGTGGTTTAGTGCCATGACACATCCCCCATCTATAAAATGGGAATGAAGCTTCTTTGTAGATGCTGTATGGCCAAGAGAGAGGTGGCACAGCAGTAGTAGTGCCTGGAAGCTGGAGATGGTATGGAGTTGATAGCCTGAGTTCCAGTTGCCAATGGAGACTTCAGGGGACTCACTACTGCCAGTCTGTATGCAGAGGTGATATTCCAAAGCACCTACACAATAGGAGACAACAAGAAGGTGCTGTTTGTAAGTTCCCTAGGATCTTTATGGCTTTTTTGTTCTCAAACAGTTTGGTCACAACTACCAGTACATCCAGATGAATCACAAGCACAGGTGACAAAAATGGGAATTGAACAAGATTGTGACTGCCACAGTAATTTTATTT